TGCGAGGACAGAGTCATAAAGTTCATGCTTTTTAAAAAAAATAGCTGCAAAATGAAAGCGCCACTTAGTAAATTACCTCTCCCTTTCCTGCTTCCGTAACCATGATCCTAAAACAGCACATGGCCGTTCTTAAACCTGGGGCCATATCTGCCAATTGGTAGAGTGCTGTGTTTGGTAGGATATAAGTAAAAGCGGAGTTCAGGTGTTCTCTGCAAACTGTACATAAGAAAATTTTGTACCTGGTGTCTGGCAGGACTGTTCACATAACCTTGATTCTGCTTATTTTCCAATACCTCCTGAAGCAGCCAAAGCGATGAACACCTGTTACATTGCCAGCACGTACTCCACCTGCACGCTGGAGGAGATCTCCATGGCCGCCCCTGGCGGCCTCCGGTGGTTCCAGCTCTACATCCACCGCAACAGGGCGGTTTCCCAGAAGCTGGTCCAACGGGCGGAGGCCTTGGGTTTCCAGGGCCTCGTCCTCACCGCGGATCTGCCCTACACGGGCAAAAGACGCGACGATGTCCGCAATGGTTTCCGCCTTCCTCCCCACATGAAACTGAAGAACTTGGAAGGAGCCTTTGAGGTTTGTAAAATGAGCCCGTCCTTTCATTCACTGAGCTGGTGTGTACCACATGAGACAAAAACCACCGGGTAACTGCTGCTTTGGCATATGCTGTACCCGGGGTGTATCTTCTCCCCTTCTGGTTCTGCAGCGTCCTGGTTTGACCTCCTGCCAGCCTGGGTTCTGGCTTCAAAATCCCAGTCCAGCTGCCTTAGAGACACCAATCTCCATCCCCATTGTAATTATTCTACTCCAGAGACACGTGCTCTCCAGAGCTGATGAACATGTCTGTTAGCGAGTTTAATTAATCTGTTCTAGGGCAGGGAAAGACATCAAGGGGCCTCTGTATTGTTACAGCTCAGATGAGGTTTCCTTCTGTCCTGTGGCTATAGGGAGATGATTGCTCTGAGTACGGACTGCCACCCAACAGTTTGGATCCTTCGGTCACCTGGAACGATATCTACTGGCTGCGGAGCCTGACCCACCTGCCCATCATCATCAAAGGCATCTTGACGAAAGAAGACGCAGAGCTGGCAGTGAGACACGGAGTTCAGGGAATTATTGTGTCCAATCATGGTGGAAGGCAACTGGATGGAGGACCTGCCACTGTGAGTGAGAAAACAGATGTCCCATTAGTGTTTATTGTATGCACATTTGCACTAACCTGGGTATCTTTATGCTCGTCTTTGTACACATGCTTCTGGGGACTTGGGTATTGGTTGCATGGCTGTAGATGCATGCAGATGTACTTTAGCTTCAAACTGGTAAGATGCATGTCTTGGCATGGGCTGCCCACTGAAGAATTTTCTCAGCTTCTTGGGAGGGTTCTGTAAGCAGCACTGAACCCACATTAACTGCAGATACACTACGTGCCTAAGTTAGTAAAAGTTTTCTGCCTATGTCTTCATTAGCCAGGGCAGTGCACACGTACTCTTTGCGCACTGTAGCAAAAATAAAACAAAGCTCTGGAACCAAAAATGTACAAATGAGAGCATAATGTATTCTCATTGTTCACATCTGCCAAAACATGCACAAACAATACAGCTAGATTTAGTGAGTGGTCTGCTTGCGTATTTACAGACTCAAGTCTAAATGGGAATTTATTGACTTTCATGAGCCAGAAAAAGGAAAACTTATGGAGAAAAATTCCCCCACTTTTTAATCTGTACAAAGAAATCATGGGTCATTTTGATGCATGTGTATTTCACTGCTTTAATTTGGCTTCTGTCAATTTTTCCAACTGTTCTTCTTTCACAGTTCTATATCGCACATCTTATGGACTTTCTTTTCTCTGTTTTCCTCTGTAAAATAAAAATAGGCACCAGGGAATTCTCTTCTATTCTATGTCAGGGCTGACAATAATGATTGAAACAAAAAAATGCTAAAGACATAATAATGGAAATGGCATCTACATTAAACTGTTCCTTTACCTTAGAAGTTTCTTTACATACACAGACAAATCAGTAGCTAGCTAGTTCAGCTGTGCTACTCCTCTGGTACCAAGCTTGGCAGCAGAAGCTATTGCCCTGGAAAGCTTCGGCCTGAAAGATTTCAGTCTGAAATTCTGAAAAAAATTATGACCAACTGAAAAAACCTACTTAGTAATCTTAGTTATAGCTGCTCTACTTAAAAAAGATGAAAAGAAGGCAAAAGAGTATAAGACACTGCAGAAAAGAGACCTTTGGGTTTGCTGTGAAGGTGAATTAATTAGGTCTAGCACAATGTCCTGCCACTGGTTATCCTGCCTTTGGGACGAGAGCCAGCACCTCTGTGTGGTAATGCCCTGCACTACCAGCCTGGCTCTGCAGCTGTGCTCTACGGAAAAGACCTTAGGGAACCAGGAGACTTAGCCTGGAGGAAATGGCACACTGACTGTGCTACAGAGCAAATGAAAGCCTTCAGAGATGCTTCATGTGGTTTGAGGAGGCTTTCGACAGGTGGTCACTAGGATTAGGTTGAAATGCTAAGTTTAGGCAAGTTGGACGGTAGCAGGGAGAAGTTTGACACCAGCCTTTTTTACAAACGTGTACCATTCATCATTGTCTCAAATGAAAGTAAGACATTTACAACAATTATTTCCATTGAAATATATTTTAAAAATCTTTCAGAAAGCAAGTGAAAAAGTTACTTTTTCACTTATCAGAAGTGATAGCAAAGAATATCAGTATAAGCAAAGCACTGGAAAATAGAATTAACTATCTGGCAAACAGAACAGGGAGCTGCACTTTATTCTGCAGCTTTTGGTGCCAAGCTGTCTCTGATGCATTGTCACATTTCAAGTTGAGAAGGTATGTCATTACAGTATTGCATCCCTTCCTGTCCCTTTGGAAAACCTCCTCTTTCTCTTGGAACCAAAAGCTGAGCTCGAGGTGAGAGTGGCTGCTTCTTTGCAGATTGAGGCTCTGGTTGAAGTTGTGGAGGCAGTTCAAGGCAGAGTCGAAGTTTATTTAGATGGTGGAATACGAAAGGGAAGTGACGTATTAAAAGCACTGGCGCTGGGAGCAAAATGCGTCTTTATTGGAAGACCAGCTTTATGGGGCCTGGCTTACAAGGTGAGTAAGGAGCTTTGAGTTTGTATGTCTACTTACATTCTCCAACACGCTGCTGTTGTTATTTAGAAGTCATAGACACAGTTTTCACCAGTGAAGAATCTTATCCTTTTCTTTTGTTTTGTTTTGCTGAATTTTAAGTGGAAACACCCCAAACTGAATCAAACCCAGACGTTTTCTGTGATTTAAAAATACCACTGAATTTTATGATTTCAAAATTATTTTGAAGCTGATAATATTGTTTTGTGGGACCTGACTTCTTGGTGTTGCAATTCAGTGCTAAAATACTGTAGCACTCAGGACCATCAGTGCTTTTGAAAATTGGAGGTGGAGTTATTTGCCACAAAGATGAGTCTGAAAATTTTATTTTCTGTCAGCTTACTTGGAAACAACGTATGGTTTTCATACAGCAGCTTCAGAGCGATGTTATGAATTCTTCAGAAATACATATAGAACTCCATCCCACCGATGTCTGAAACATTTTGGACAAGACTGAGCACAACCGTGTCCTGGAGGTGCCTGAGTGCGCCACTGCTATCTCAGTTCCAGCTTTGCTGCTTCTTAACTACCAGCATATTTCCATGATCCAGAGTCATGAATTAGACCTCTGATGCAGAAGGTTAACATAACATAATTAAAATTAAAATGTAATTATACTGGTTGTTTGCTTTGCTAAATTTTTGCCTTTTATCCTCTGAATTGGAGCTTTCAAGCTTTTCTCTAGAAGAAAAAACATTTATTTTTATGGCCTAGAAACATTTCCTATCTTTTAAATGAGACTCCTGTCCAGTGGTGTGATTGCTGTGGATTCCAGTAGCTAGCCTTTAAGCAAGAAATCACCTGAATCTTCTGAGAAACCTGGAAGAATCAGCAGCACTGTTTCTGTTGCCAGTGAACATAAAAAAAGGGCCTAAGATGAAAAGGGTGTTGCTGTAATTTGCCCCCATTTTTTCCACAATGCAAACAGAAAGGAGACGAGATTTTTTGAGTTTAACTGTGCTTTGATTTTATATTCCATAGAACATTCCTAAAAGTGTATCTCAGCAGCAGTACCCTAGCATACAAGAGAGGGAGGGCATGAACAAGCACTGACATTGCCTGCACCCAAGGCGTTCTTTATTGCAAGAAATAAAAATAAAATTTAAGCAAAAAAAAAAAAAAATCCTCCAATATTTTACAGTAGATCAAAATCATATGTACATTTTATTGGCTTTTGAGCTTCTTGGTGTCTCTTGCTCTGAGGAAAACACACAGTGTACTATTTTTAAAGATTCAGTCTGGTATCTGAGTAAACTAAAGTTTTTAAAGCTGTACCATATATTAAACTCTCATTACTTCATAAAATTCTGTCAGCATCTTAAGGCTTGACATTTTAAAACAAGCCCATTGGTGGAAGTTAAATGAAAGCTAAGAAAAAAAGCCAGCTAGAAAATGTCAGAAGTGAAAAACAGCTTTGTTTTCTTTCCCTGTTCAGCTGTATCACAAAAGGAAAAGCATCTAAATTAATCTGTGATGAGCTGAGGACATGCATCATATCATTTTAATCATTCATCTGTGTGAGAGCCCGGAATTGGCACGGACTTAAGGGACTGTCCCAGCTCTCACAGTGCAGGCATCCTGCAGCATCGTTTTGTGCCAGTGCCCCTTTTACCCTGACTGCTTTCTTTGTTGGAGCAGGGTGAAGAAGGTCTTCAAGAGGTTTTGAGAATTTTGCAGGATGAGTTTCGTCTGTCGATGGCCTTAGCTGGTAAGCGTTTTGCAGGTTGTTTGTAATTGGTGATACAGAGGTTTCTGCATGCAAGCCATTGAACAGCGGAAGTCTGATGGCTGGGTCACAAAAAGGGAATCCATGTGAGTTGTGCTGGTTCTAGTTGCTATATTTAAGGTGATTCTCTGCTTCCTGTGAAACCACGTGGCATTTCAGGTGCCATAACAATGAATCTTGCAAGGAGGAAGTAGGTTAAAGCAACTTTCTGACCCAAATAAAGAGATGCAAAACTAAGTAGCCCTGAGCAAAACTTGGAATTGCTGTTTTGCTGGGAATCGCAGCATATGTTTTCAGTATTTAACGTTTACCAGGGTAAAATGCAACCAATTTTTTTGCTGCATGAAAAGTTCAGAAAAAAATGGGTGCAGAATTTTTCTCTGTGTATTAAAGAATATACAGTCTGTTGGTGCAGGTTCAAATCTCTGCATCCCGCATGTCTCTGTGTTTCCTCCTAGCTTTTACTGTCATTCCTCATTCCGCGTTTCTCACTGCTGCTCCTACCACTTGCTGCCATGTTTGATCCCCTCATGAACAGCAAATTTGCACAGCCCAGTGCAAACTCCAGTTTCACACATGAACAAGTACGACGTGCAGATCCAGTGCAGAAGTATTCAGACATCAGCAAAAGGTCTTACCCCACCTCAAATCATGTTTTAAAGATTTTCATGCTCTAGTGACCATGAACTCAAGTGGATAGCAATGTTGACTGGGAGACCAGAACTGAAATCCCACTGTGCATTTCTTAATAGGTTTTTGGGGTTACTTTTCAACCAGTAAAGATTCCTACAAGGTTTTTTCCCAGGAGGCTCTCACACTTCTTCACACGCAAAAGGGCACTGAGCTCGGCAAGAGTAGCAGGTTGGGACTTTTTTGGCAGGGCTGTGAAATTCCACCCAGATTTGACCAAATGAAACAGCAGTGCAAATCTCCACCTTCAGTCACTTGACACACGGCAATCTCTGTGTCTTTTCTGTCCACCTTTCACTTCTGGCTGGATCAGATGGCTCCCTGCTCAGCTTGTTATAAGTTTTGGGTTCTTTTTTTCATGTTTTTAACTCTCCTTATGCAGGAATCACTGTGCCTAACCTCAGGGCTGAAGATGCCATTGAGGAGTAGGACTCCTGTGAGTGAGCTGCTGAAGTACCAACCTATCCCCACATGGCTCATACAAGAGTAGACCATGATTCGGGGAGAGGGCCTTCCAAGTTTCTCTCTCACCAACATGTTTCATTTCTCTATTTATTTCAGGCTGTGCCAGTGTCTCAGAGATTGGCCGACACCTAGTTCAGTTCTCAAAGCTGTGAACAGCCTCCTGCAACACCCACGGAACAGAGGCAGCTCACGCTAAGGTCCCAACCAGACTGAAGAGAGAAAAAGAAGGTGCAAATGTTGAATGTGCAATAAGTATCTGATAAGGCCTTCAGGAAACTTCTGAGGAGATTAGGAAAGGCTCTGTGTTAGCAAAGGCCATTCTCTGCTTTTATTGAGACCAATTTGTTCTTTAACACGGGTAATCGTTACTTGCTTAAATACATTTACTTTAAACTGGCTGTTCTGTGGCATTACCTCTGTTTGGCCTTACTCCCAAGCTCTGTTACATCAGGCAGCCAGACATGGAAAACTATGTCCCTTGCTTCTTCCACTTGGTTGTCCTACCAAGTCTGGCTGCAACTCAAGCTATGCACTACCTCTGCTCCAGGGCAGTTGTGTTGTGGCTGATTTCCATAGCTTTGGCTTTCCTGGATGTATTCATAGCAGATACGGAAAGAAGATGCATCAGCTAACAGTCACCCCAGCTACCCTTTGAAGGCGAGGGCAGTTCTTGCCCACTGCTTCCAAATGCAGAGCAATGAAATCACTGGTAACCAAAGCAACACCCTGTGCTCCCTGCTGAGAGTACCTCTTCCTTCACTACGTAGTTATCTTGCGTGGCAAACTCATCTGAGCAGCACTCAGGATCTATGCATTCTCAGAGCACAGCACAAGTTTGTGGCGGTGCGTAAGTAACTCACCCGGTGCCCTGGTCTCTGCCCAAGGGTGAGCACAGCCAGCACAGGCTGACGGAGTAGGCAGGAGCTGCTGGCACAACCTGAGCAGCACATGGCCTTTGCTCTCTGAAGATGGTGCAGAGGCAGCGGTGTGCCTGCTGCCAGAGTAGAGCAGCATAAACTCTTGCTCTCCGAGGTAACAGAAATGTGTGCTCATCCCTTCCTTGTCCAAGTTTCTTCTTAAGACGCAGGTCTTGCCTCCCCATGAGGAAGAACTCCCTCAGCTGTGCCACCCACCTGCCATCACCTGGTGGTGATTAATCCTTAGTAACAACTAGGAGCTCACTCACTCTTCTCTTTCTTTTCTTTCTTTTCTCTCTTGCTTTCTTGCTTTATTTTTTTTTTAAATTTTCTTTCCTTTCTTTCTTTCTTTTCTTCTAGTTCTCTTTCACCTGGATGGTTCCTTTTCTGTAGCACTCTTTAGAGCACAGTCTTCAGCTATGTCACCTAGTCTTCCTTTCTTCCTCATTCCATCTCTTTGCATCATATCTCTGTCCCCCACCAGACGTCTTCCCCATTATTTTTCTTCAGAAAAATTTCAGTCATCACCTAGGCTATTATTTCTGCATATCACTGACTAGCATGAGCCTCCCGGCATCATGGACCTTTGGTGGGTATGCCAGAGCTGCCTTATGGCGTCCCAGAGAGGAAAGCAAGGAAGCCTGCTGCTGCCCAGAGCTGAGGGAGCTACTGGGGAGCGGAGATGAGACAGAGTCAAGGCAGATAAGGTCCTGCAGCCAGGGCAGAAGTCTGTTGATGTTGTATTATTTGGAGCTGATGTCCCTTGGGGTTTGTTTGTGTCAATAGGCTGCAGCATGATTATTTACTCTGAGCTATTCTCCCTAGGAGGAGTTTACCAATACTTGTTTTTCAATCTTTATAATAATGCTGTCCAAGTAAAGGTGTAAACAGAATTAATCTATTTAAAATGGCTAAAATCCCTGTATGCACATTTGACCTTTGTTATGAATGTGGTGTGTAAATCAGTGGGGAATCTGGCCAGTGTATCTGGAAATAAGCTGAACCTCCGTAAAGAGTTTAACTGATTTAACTACTTGGGCTTAATCAGGTCTTTTAAATGAGGATAGGTAAACTAGGATCGTACATACATGAAAACTGCTAATGTGCCTCATCTTTAAATATGCGATGTGATCTTAAAAATATCTGGTAAGACACCTGACCTTGTTTTCTGATAAATAATTTTTCAGGCCAGACTCACTGGCACAGCCACTGCTTTTATGCTACTTTATAGCAGCACAAAATGTCTGAGGGATGCTGGGCAGCAATGGGATGCCACATGTCGCTTTGTGCCAAAGAAGTACCAACCTGTTGGGCACCTCCTCTGCTTAGTGCACCTCCCAGTCTTGCCCATGCACATAAGGCTCCCTTTCCCAGCAGAATGCAACCTCGGGCAGTGGTCTCCTGCAAACTGCACTGCCCTGGGCACCAGGCATAGGCATCCCCAAGTGAGGCCTCCCTCTGCTCCCCTTGCTCTGGCACTGTTCAGTAAAAGCACCAAGAATAAGGGGCCACAGGCAGGGAAGAGTGACACTTGGCAGGCTAGTGATTGAGGTTGCCCTGTGTGTGAGGTTGCCCTGTGTATGAGGGTGAAGGTAGGGGCATGAGGTCATTACTTCACCCAGTAATTACTTGGAGGAAAATGCCAGAGGAGTCGCTGGTGCATGGGGCCGCACAGTTGCCTAACCCTGGTTTGGAGTGCTGTGTGGCCAAGTTTCAACAAGAAAGTGCCAGCTCTCCTCCCATGAAACTGCCTATGAGCTTCTTTGGTCAAGGGTCTGGCAGAGAAGAGGTGCTGCTTTTTCTGTGGAGGAGAAGGCATGTGTGCTCCCCCAATTCCTGATGAGGACATGGCCCACTGGTTCCTGGTGTACAAGGGAGAGGGTGGGGCAGCCAGGACACCTGGCTAAGCTCTGGAGAGGAGCAGGGTTTCCAGCGTGCTTCCTCTGATACATCTTGGCGACTTCCCTCTGAGCATTTGGATTTTTTTAGGTCTGTTTCTGGATGATCTAGAAGACCTAGAGAGGGGCATGTAAAGTGTGAGAGTGAGCAGGTGCCTGAATTTAGCTGCTGCCTTCTGGAGCTGATGCTGTGAAATGGGAAAGTAGCTTGTGAGAGTCTGGGACAACTGCATTTAAGCTCTGTTTCCATGAAAATGAGCTCCTCTGTCTCCTTGGTAGATGACCATCAAGGTTTTTGCTCCGTATTCTACACTCCCATTCACTGAAAGAAATCCCTTTTCTTTGGAGAAATCCAGGTACCAAAAAATCATCCATTTCTCACGTGCATTTCACTTCGATACCTTTCGCTTGCAGTCACACTCTGTCAATGTTCTGTGCACGGCACGGCTGGTCTGCTCATGTCGCTCCTCACAGCAGTCTGTGCTCCTTGGAGCAGAGGTGGTGCTGAAGGCTGCTCTGCTGAGGCAGAAAACCCTCTCATTTCAGGCTCCAGAGTCTCAGCTTTCATTTAAAGCCAATAAAACAAGACGCTGGAAAGCATGTCATTGTTACAGTTGTGAAGGAAATCTTTCAAGGAGGAAAGCCATCTTAAGAAACTCAGAGACATCTGCTGGAGCTAAAACAATTGTGATGGAAATTGTCTGCACTGCTGAGCTAACTTGTGGTGGCTTCATTTACACCATTACTGAGTATCCTGAGATCAAAATCTGTTTTGAAGGAAAGGCAATGCCACATCATGAAAATAAGCACAACGGTTTATTTTGTGATCACCTTCTCTGTTTTTCCCATGGCACTGAAGTTGGGGAATGGAGGATAGGAGGACAGGTGGAGTTGAAGGACATGTGAACCCTACTAAAGTTAGCCAGACAAACTGCAGCCTTTGATCAAGCTGTTCTATAGGTTTGTTGTATAAGACAGCATAAACATCTTTAAACCAGAAATGTTTGCAGAGGCCACGAATTTGCAGTTCCTGTGACCTGGATGGCTAGTGGAGTACATCTGGAGCCAGATTTGAAGAGGCATAGAGCACTTGCAAGTGAAATGAAGGGGTCCCAGACTGCAGGCTTTTGGAATGAGCAGCATCAGAGATCTGAAATATCTTGTTCTCCAATCCCGTCTCTTGCTGTTGGCCCTTTACAGCCATAGAATTTTTCTGTACAATTTTTCAAATGATACAATGATGCAGAATATCCTCCTAGCCCCTTCTCCCTTTCCAGAACTGAGGCAATGCCTGTACACTTGGATAGTTCTGCATGACTCTGGGAGTAAGGGGAAGGGGAGATTTTGCCGGTCAGGTTTGTGCAAGTATCATGTCACAGGGATCAGTACTGAAGGGGAACCGCTACAGAATTGGGCATGTGCATCCTGGGGGCAAATGATAAAGCCGCTCTTCAGCTGAGGTTTCTGCCCGCGGCACAGTACCACTTCTGGGGCAAAGAGCCCGCTCTCAGCAGTGCAGACCCCGTGCCACACCCTGCTTTGCAGCTGGCATCTGTTCCACTGCCCATTTCCCTGGCATGTGCGGGAAGAGCCACGCTATCAAGAAGCCACCTTCTGCATAAGCCCTACTTTAAACTGGCCTTAAGGAGGCAGAAGAGAGAAGCTAGCCCTCTTAGCTCACTCTGTTTAGGCCTAAATTTCTCTCAGAGATAACAGTGTCTGCAGTGTTCTTCCAGAGGCCTTCACATGGAGACCTTCCTCTCTGTTCCAGTAATAATAAACCTTGCTGGCGGCCTGACAGCCTGGCAGATAAGACTGAGGAATAATACCACATCGCACACTTTGATGGACTTCAAGGATGTACAAGAAGAGACTGAGATGACTGTGTGTGCTCCGTCCTGAGAAGGCTAAAAGTAGCGGCGGGGGGGATCACATCACTATCTTCCACTACTCAGCTGGAGGGAACAGAGAAGATGCAGCCCAGCTTCTCGGATGTGCACAGAAAAAGTGCGAAAGGCAATGGACACAAGTTACAATGAGGAAAATTCCAGTTAGAAATTAGTGGGAAAAAAATCACCTGAGGGTGGTCAGATGCTGCAACGGAGGGTCTGTGAAATCTTCATCCTTAGAGATGGAGATTGGGCAAGCTCCTGAGTAACCTCTTCTAATCTGACGCTGCTTTGAGAAGAGGTTCGGTCAGAGACCTCCAGGGAGTCCTTTAGATCTAAGTTGTTGGGGGACATAAAATAAGGGCCATACATCAGATCTGTACCCTGCCGTACCAGTGTGTTGCCATGATCAACTACCATGGAGCTGCAGAGGCAGCAGCTACATCTCTGTGAAAGAGGC